GTGAACCATTAGTTCATTTTGCTCAAATAGAAATTGAGGCCTGCCTCTAATTCTGGTCCTCCTTCCAATAAAGGCCTGGAGCTTGATGAGCTTGAGTCAAATACAGGCCCGGGCCTGTATTAGAGGATTTACGGTACTTTTACTTTTGAAACTTTTTAGTAAATGTAGTGGAATAGAAAGTAAAGATACTTTTTTTAAAGAGTTAAAGTAAAAAGTGGGCTTTAACAATGTACTTAGGTAAACTACAGATACAGAAAAATCATACTTTAGTATAGTAATGAAGTACTTGTACTTTGCTACATCCCATTACTATAACTTAGTTAAGTAAATTCAACATTTCCTTTTTAGAGTTTTTGTTTGTTTGTTTGTTTATTAAGAACCCCATTAGCCACTGTTAAAACAGTTGCTATTCTTCCTGGGGTCATAACATCATCCAAAAAATACATTATTCATGCATCAACACTGTGCTCACAAACAAACAATCCATTTCACTGTACAATATAAATGTCCACTATAAGAGCACACCACATTCCACCCAATACAGCACCAAAATAACATTCATTTCCCGTAACATAAAACACAAATTACTCCACACATACTGGACAACAAAACACAAAATTAATAAAACAAAACTCATCTTCCTCAAACTCGTGTAAAAAGGGTAAAAATAAATATCCGCAACCTCCTACAAAAATCACTCCTTTGTAGCTGACCCCTCAAGAATTGTGGTAAACTATTCCATTCCACCATAGCTCTATACAATACTGACCTATGAAGAAAATTAGTTTGACTAACTGGCAACAAAAGCATCCATCAGCTTGACACGTAGCATGTTGGTGAACATCTCTAAAAAATGTCAACTGATTTATAAAAATGTCTGGTATCTGTGTATTTATAACATTCCTAATAAATTTTATAAGTACTTAATTCTACTCCCTACACCCATCCATGCTAGAGCAGTTTGCATGTCCTCACAACTTCTAGAGAAAACAATTTAAGATTAATCCAGCAGCCTTATTTTGAACGACCTGTAACTTATTTAAATTGGCTTCCGTAGTAGCAGCCCAAATTACTGCACAATAGTTAAAGTGACACAAAACAATTGCTTCAACTAATACTTTTCTACTTGAATACGGAATACATTTTCTACCATTCCTCACCATTGCCATGTTCTTTCCCATTTTAATTAAAAAGAGTGAGTATGGAAGGAAAGGATCGAATATTCAACATCATGATATCCCAAAATGTCTTATACTCGCTGCTTTTGGTTAGAATTAGCATTTGTAATAATAGACCTGCACAGGATGGTTTTATCATTCACAACCACAGTGCCGTCTCCTGCACCGCAATGATTTTCTGTCAGTTTGTGAAATATTGGCGATTTGGTGCCTTCCCAGTAATTCTGCATCATTAGTTGTGCTGGCAGATCTTCACAAAGGATTCAAACTGTTTATGCTTATTGAATAGATTTAAAAGAATTATATTGCAGCCAGTGCTGCAATTTCTACAAGAATAACTTTGGATACAACATCTCATCTTTTCCCAAATTACTGCAATAAAGCTAATGCCGAGACTCTGCCAGAAATACAGTGGTGTGAAAAACTCTTTGCCCTCTTCCTGATTTCTTATTGTCTTGCATGTTTGTCACACAAAATGTTTCTGATCATCAAACACATTTAACCATTAGTCAAAGATAACACAAGTAAACACAAAATGCAGTTTTGAAATGATGATTTTTATCATTTTGGGAGAGAACAACATCCAAACCTTCATTGCCCTGTGTGAAAAAGTAATTGCCCCCTGAACCTAATAACTGGTTGGGCCTCCCTTAGCAGCAACAACTGCAATCAAGCGTTTGCGATAACTTGCTACGAGTCTTTTACAGCGCTCTAGAGGAATTTTGGCCCACTCATCTTTGCAGAATTGTTGTAATTCAGCTTTATTTGAGGGTTTTCTAGCATGAACCGCCTTTTTAAGGACATGCCATAGCATCTCAATAGGATTCAGGTCAGGACTTTGACTAGGCCACTCCTAAGTCTTCATTTTGTTGTTCTTCAGCCATTCAGAGGTGGATTTGCGGGTGTGTTCTGGGTCATTGTCCTGCTGCAGCACCCAAGATGGCTTCAGCTTTAGTTGACGAACAGATGGCCGGACATTCTCCTTCAGGATGTTTTGGTAGACAGTAGAACTCATGGTTCCATTTATCACAGCAAGCCTTCCAGTTCCTGAAGCAGCAAAACAACCCCAGACCATCACACTACCCCCACCATATTTACTGTTGGTATGATGTTCTTTGTCTGAAATGCTACGCCAGATGTAACGGGACATTTGCCTTCCAAAAAGTTCAACTTTTGTCTAATCAGTCCACAAGGTAGTTTCCCAAAAGTCTTGGCAATCATTGAGATGTTTCTTAGCAAAATTGAGACGAGCCCTAATGTTCTTTTTGCTTAACAGTGGTTTGTGTCTTGGAAATCTGCCATGCAGGCCATTCTTGCCCAGTCTCTTTCTTATGGTGGAGTCGTGAACACTGACCTTAATGGAGGCAAGTGAGGCCTGCAGTTCTTTAGAAGTTGTCCTGGGGTCTTTTGTGACCTCTCGGATGAGTTGTCTCTGCGCTCTTGGGGTAATTTTGGTCGGTCGCCCACTCCTGGGAAGGTTCACCACTGTTCCATGTTGTTGCCACTTGTGGATAATGGCTCTCACTGTGGTTCGCTGGAGTCCCAAAGCTTTAGAAATGGCTTTATAACCTTTACCAGACTGACAGATCTCAGTTACTTTTGTTCTCATTTGTTCTTGAATTTCTTTGGATCTTGGCATGATGTCAAGCTTTTCAGGTGCTTTTGGTCTACTTCTCTGTGTCAGGCAGCTCATATTTAAGTGATTTCTTGATCGAAACAGGTGTGGCGGTAATCAGGCTTGGGGGTGGCTACAGAAATTGAACTCAGGTGTGAAACACCACAGTTGGGTTATTTTTTAACGGGGGGGGGGGGGGGGGGGGGGGGGGGGCAATTACTTTTTCACACAGGGCAATGTAGGTTTGGATTTTGTTCTCTCCCTAAATAATAAAAAAAACATCATTTCAAAACTGCAATTTGTGTTTACTTGTGTTATCTTTGACTAATGGTTAAATGTGTTTGATGATCAGAAACATTTTGTGTGACAAACATGCAAAAGAATAAGAAATCAGGAAGGGGGCAAAGAGTTTTTCACACCACTGTATATTTGTTTTCCTGCAGAATGTATCAAATAATTTAGCACTTTGGTTGACATTAGTAAACTAATTCACTTATTTAATAACTTTTTAAAAAATGTTATTTGAAAACTCCCAAAGCGTTTATGAAGATTTGCCCTTTTAAAAGAAAGAAAGCCTATGTGGGTGGCAGTCTCCCAATGCAAAACGGAGGCACTTAAATTTGCAATCTGGAGCATATCTCAACTTTGGAAAAGAAAAAACAAATTTTCTGTTTAAAATTCAAAACACTTCAAATAAATAGTTCCATTCAAGACAGTCGTGCACAAACCGGCTCTTTTTTTAAAGCTGAAGATTTCATAGGAACACGACTCACAGGTTCACAAACGGATGTGAACTAGATAAGGCCGTTATTCTCATCCTCAATTTTCACTGTTCAAGCACTGCATCTGAAACCGCTAACAGCCATGAAAATGTAAAAAAAAAGAAAAGAAGAAGAATATTTAGTTTTAACTAGCATTTTTACTTTGTTTCATTGCTTGTTTATTTTACACTTTTGGTAACTGATTATTCCCACCCCACTAAAAGGACAAGGATGGTCAATAACAGCATCTTGATTCTAAATCAAAAACAACATGTTAATGCTAACTCATACAAGTCAAAACATTAGAGACGGTTTAAATTAGGGTTGCACGATATTGGGGAAACATGCGATGCACAATAACAGTGACTAATATTGCGATGACGATGTGACATGCAATAAATAAACAAATTCTTAACTCAAGGACAATTAAATCAAAAACAAAGAAATTAAATATTTTTTAAAAGACTAAAAATAATCATAAAAAGTGGGAAAAGCAAACATTGAGATCAAAAGATGTGAGGAAAGGGAAAAATAAAATGAAGAACCAAAGGCAATCAGGATCCTGGGAAAAGCAGAATCGGCAGAAAAGCTAATTCAGGTGTTTGCTAGCCAGCCGCCTATGGGGGCGGGAATCTAACATAAGTACCCACCCGATTGGCCAAATGGGTGAAGAGCTCTATTTGATTTGTCAAAAGCTTCATGCTTCCGTTTGACAAAATGCATCATGTGTAGCAAACATTTGAGCTGACTATTCGTTTCGGGGTTTTTTCTGTTCTTTGCGATGTGCGTATTGCGCATGCCGATTTCGCGATGACGATACCTTTGTGATGTATTGTGTAGCCCTAGTTTAAATACAAATTTTTGAAAGGGTTTAAATTATTATTTTCTGTATTAATCAAAATCATTCACATCATATTAAAATTGGACCCAATCTAAAACCCTGTTGTAATTTGTTTTTTTGGCACTTATCGTTTTTTTTTTGCCATATTATCATCTTCCTGCAGCTCACATGCAAAATGTCAGCTCAGTATAGGAAGAAGCATGAGCTCCATAAAGTAGACTCATCCAGTACGATTCCTCTATTAGGCCTGTCACATTTGCAAAGCTTGATGAATATTTACAGCTTAGACTCAGCAAGAGTACACAACATGCACACTAATTATTGCAAAGTTCTTCGGGCTGTAAGTTGCTGGAGTCTTGCAAGTTGTTTCATACTGCATTTTAATTGCAGAATACATTATTTCTCCTTTATAACAAAGGGCATGCAGAGATAAAACTTCACACTCGCATCTTCTTCCTATGTCAACAAAACCTTGGATGTTTTAAAGCGAGGAAAAACCAATGAGCCTACTGGAGAAATGATCATGTCAGCAGTAATTACTGCTGTTCATTCACAACACAGGAGTAAAAATTAAAGGGGAAAATCAGGTAAAGTAATAAACTCACTGGAACAAGGAATTTTTTAATTTCCTCCAAGGCGTGACTCATTCGGGAATAGGCCTCTCCTGGTGGAGCAAAGACTTCAATTAAAACGTGTAGATCGTTACTCAGATGGGCGTATTTGGCCTCCCCGCTCTTCCGTAATTCTTCTTCCTGTAAACACAAGTCAGTGAAGGAATTTTGTTTAATAAACAGAATCCAAAATTGAATGAAAATATCTTCAAACTGCAAATACTCACACTAGCATGATAAAATGTTCCATTAAAAGGCTTATCGTAAAGCTGCACTCATTTGTGCACAAATGTTGTTTGAAAAGGAATTTAAATGTGGAAAAAAGCAGGATTGTGACTTTAAATCTCGCACATTAACACTTTTTTTAAACTTCCAGCTATTTCTGTTGCGTAACAACACTATCAAAATGAAGCTTGATGTAAACTGTGTGTTGCTCCCCAAGAGAGCTGACTCAGGTGTGCTAATGATACGTTAGATTTGTATTTGGTGTAAGCAGTAGCAGTGATGATGGTTCTGTAAGAAAATAGAAGGAACTTAGAATTACACTTCATAGGTTGCCCTTTCAGGAGGACAGAGTAGCTTCCCTGAACCTTCAGGTAAGGGAATGGATCCTTACACACTAAACAGCAGCTTACAGGTTTTGGAGGTATGCTGGGGGACTACAATGCTTGTGCAGGGAAAGACAGCATGGCCTGGAGTGTTGGGATGGCCAGGATCAGCTCGCCCAATCTGGAACTGAGTGGTCACTTACTCTTGGACTTATCTGCAAGTTGCGGTTTTGCCATACAGCAAACTTTCCACAATTAAGCATACGTTCAAATAGTAACATGAGTACATCAGTATACTTGGTACCAGGATATGCTGTAAGTCAATATTTAACTTTGTATTCACATCACCTGACAGCCGTGGGCTTTGGGCAATGAAGTGAAGAGAGGAGCAGAGGTGTGAACTGATCCTCATCGGGTGGGGGACTGGGATCAGATGGCAGGGGAAGACGCTGAACAGACCTGGTAGGCCCAAACATATAATGAGGGTCTTCACATCCTACCTTTAACCAATTCACTTGTGTTTTATGGCTCTAGAACAGGCTTAGGACTGTGCAGAGTTACTGTGTGGTGGGTAGTGTAGGAGTGTGCGGTGGATGGCCCTTAGAGTCTCTGTACCAAGTGAGTATTACACTGATGTAAAATCCAAGAAAGTTTTGACTTAAGTAAAACATTTCAAAGTATGTATTTTGAAATTTACTTAAAATTAAAATTGCCAATGTATCCAGCTAACCTTTAAATATGTGTTAGTATGTGTCTGCATTCAGCCATGGCTGCTCTTTTTCACTGGTTCTCTACATATGGACAGCATTTCTAGGTGCAGCGGAGAGGTAAACTGTGTCTAATTTGGCTGCAGGAGGATTTAGTCTTTTGTAGATGGTGTGGTCCTCATGGGATCGTCAATAGTATTGGTAATCACCTGCACTTGTATAGTGTCTTTGTGACTGAAAGCACTCCAAAGCACTTTACACCAGGTGGTTTTCCAGGAACACTACTCAGAGCAACTCGGACCGATGCAGTTCGGCCCGACCACTGTTTCCAAGGGCACGGTTCAGTATTTTCCCGCTACTTTCTCCCCTGTTTTTAGTCCCTGCTCCGTCAAGGTACCTGGCAAGGCTGAGTCCAGCCGGCATCGTGATTCTGGCCACTGATTGGCTAGGGCACAGAGTCACTGGCTGCTCCAGAGTTTTTTGCTTTCTGCTTCACTGCCTGCAGCCATTTCCTGGTCCAGAGTCTGACAAAAAGCCATAAAACTGAGAAAAATGCTCAGCAACACCAACATTTTTCAGCTGAGTTGTGTTTCTGTAAGCGTACAAGTTACTTTACGCCGTTTACTGATCATCTCATGCTATTTTGTCATGAGTAAAAATTGCACCATCGAACCGGCAACCCGCTGATTCCAGGGTGAACTCCTAACCCTGAACTACCTGCCAGGGCTGCTCCCCATGCAACCCAGACCCCCCCCCAAAAAGCAGAAAATAATAAATGTGAATACAAGACTTTCTTTTCAAGTACTCCTAATTGTGTAATTTTAGTTACATTTAAAATGGTTCAATATTGGCTGCTCATTTGGTGGTTGAGACATTGCATTCTGCCATAAATACTCTAATTTGAACACATTTGAGTTAAAAACTATATCCTTTGCAAAATAATCTGCATAACTAGTGGACTTTGACCTTAAAAACAAATTCTTTCGAGAAGCGAGAGAATTGAGCCGTGCTGTACAAGACATAATACAAGTGCAACACAAAACATGCATCAATACGATCCTACGTGCTAGAAAAAACATTTCAAGTGGGATGTTGGAGTGAAAATGACAGATTTGTGTGCCAAAGCCTACAAGTGCATTTATGTTTTCCTTTCAAGACAAAGAGGGACTGAGATCACTACATCCATCACATTTAAAAGACTAGTGCACACAAAAGCATCTTGGCAAGATTTATAGGTATTTTTCTTGATACACAAGAAAAGAAAAAAAATACACAGAAACTAATTGCTACTCATCTGTCAACCAAACAAATCATAAACAGCAGGGATTTCAGTGCAGTCAGACTGACAACAGCGTGTTGAATGCCTTTTAGTTTGTGGTGGTCAATGCTGTTTGCAGTACTCAGCAGGCTCTGCTCGACAGTCGGTTCTGGAACCGTTTATATGGACTGACACCTTGTGACCGTGGCATGGAACAGTGTAGCTTCTCTCAAAGCTCGAAAGAAAATAACAGATTTCATAAAAGGATTAAAATGACATCACGAGCAAACTAAAACGTGCTCAGGTGTGCAATCACTGAAGAGCTCACAGGAATAACACAAACGTGCTCAGGTGTGCAATCACTGAAGAGCTCACAGGAATAACACAGTAGGTGGTAGGTTGAAACATGCCATTAAAAGACTAACAAAGCACAGCTGAGGAACCGGGTGACTGATAAGCAGACGAGAACCAGGTGTGTTGGACCAGTAGGCACTTAGGTGAGGTACTTAAAGGTGTGGAACACTCGTTTAATCAATATATTTGCAGTGGTCTCTGGTAGGAATGAGTGCTTTGTAATTCATACTCAGGAGAAACAAAGATCTGTTACACCTTTTTCAGGAACTAGAAGCGAGCCATGTCAGAGCTGACAGCAGGATTTAGTGTCTTATTTCCTGCTATTTGGGCATCTTGCCTCAGATTGGATAATGGCAGTGAGACTACCACTGACTCTGTTTGCTCTGTGACATTGATGTTTTGTCTCCACAAATAACACAAGCCTGCAGGAGTTCTGCCATGTTGTGTAGTTAGCTTCTACTTCCTGCGATGTTCCCTGCTTTTTCCTGGTCGCTAAAACCAAGTCTTCCTCGCCGGGCACCAAGATGGGTGAGTTCATGAAAGTTGAGTTATTAACTGCGGTTGATGACAAAAATCATCACTTTAAATCCAACCGTTCACTGCCAGTGACGACTAAAGTCGTCATTTGCATGTTTTTACTGCGTGGGCATCGGAATGAGTCCCCATACCGTGAGAACAAACATCCCAGCTCTATAGCCGACCTTCATCTGCGTACGCCACAAGTCACGTGATCAGGAAGCAGAAAATCCATGTGTTAGGAGATCGTTTTGGGCTGCTGCTGTAAAAGAAGTGAGGCGCGAACCAGAAAAGCTTCTGCCGATCACATTTCGACAATGAGTTATGGAAGAACGGATAACGCTCGAAACGCGCAAATTGTTCTTGATGTAAGAAGTGAGTTTACTCTTTGTTTTGGTAGTTTTGGCGTTGACATCATCCTAGCGTGCACCGTTCTGTGACTCAAAAATCAGTAAAAATCTGAAAAACGTTGGCAGCAAAGGGCTTTTCTGATCAGAAAATGGCTGGCAGTGAATGAGTTAAGTGACAGTGTGACACTGATCAGTCAGGCTTTTCTAATCCTAGAGTTTCACTGTCTATTTTCTATCATAAGCTAATGCAGGAGATGGGTGTAGGAGACTATTCTCAGGTTCAGCCTGCATGAAAAACTCAGAGGGACTGATTATAATCCAAAATAAGATTTAAAAAAATGATTTTTCAGTGTTCCACACCTTTAAATACTCAGAGAAATAGGAATTCCAAACAGTATCTCACCTCAAGACTTTTGAACTAGTTATGTTTCTAAAGATGACAAAGAAATCTTTTAAATTTCATAACAATGCTAATTACATATTACATATATAAACACACGTGCCTCAGCCATGAAATTAAATCAAATATCAAGATTAGGAAACATAAAAGAACAATCCACTGTGGCAAGTAATGTTTCCAATAGGTGAACAAAATGTTCTTATCAAAGGAACAGTAATTAACTCTGCATGACTGAGGCTTTGTTCTTGCTACAAATTGTTAAAAAATCTATAGTAATGTAGCCAAGAAACAGAGAGATAAAAATAAAAACCACAAATGTTACCAATTAAATAAAGTCTGGAGTTTGGATAATTTCAACAGACACTGATTAATAAAATGTATTCATTCCTCCAACGCATCAGGAGCTCAGTGTTGGGCGCTTTACTCTGGGGCAGCACAACGCTGCCTGTTTAGGGAGGTGGAAGCGTCAGACACACACTCTCTTCCATCAGCCGTTCTGGAGACCCGAGCTTTCGTCCTTGTCTCACAGAGCTGTTTGCTGCACTCTGGGAGAGGTCATCTTTAATTAAATGTGCCCACCAGGATTTCAGCCATTTTCACATGCTCTGTCAGGTCACTATGAATCAGATCAAAAATGCTAAAGTTAAATGGGTGAGATGGGTTTTGTGTGTGTGTGTGTGTGTGTGTGTGCGTGTGTGTGTGTGTGTGTGTGTGTGTGTGTGTGTGTGTGTGTGTGTGTGTGTGTGTGTGTGTGTGTGTGTGTGTGTGCGTGTGCGTGTGTGTGTGTGTGTTTGTAAGATGTGAAGTGAACAGCACAGACATGGATAATAATGAAAACCGAATGTAAATCGGACAAAGAATCATGGCGTTTTGGGAGATTTCATGAACATTTTTTTAAATGTTTTACCTTTAGTGTTTGATTTGTCTTTTTAAAGTCAGTTTAGGTCTCATTGGTGTCGTGTTATATGACAGATGAGCCTTAATTGATGCAAAACCTACAGAACCTAA